TCATGTCACAGTGAAACAGAAACCAGTGGATACTTGGAAATCTTTTAACCATATGCAGATGAATAAGCAAACAGTTGGACTTGAGTCCTAATCTTTTTTCCTTTCCTGTAGAGCTGAGATTTTTTTCCACTCTAATAAACTTGAGCCTTTGAAACCGAAGTCATGTGTCTCTTACATGACGATTAGCAGCAAGAATGTGGAAAACGAGATAGCCGGGAAGTGTGAAGCCTTAATTAATACCCAAGCCATTTGCCTGAAAGCAAGAACAATGTTTCTGGCAGGGAAGTACGAAATAGCTTTTCTGTCTCACTTGGAATCCTTAACACAGCCCCCCCAGACCCCTCCCCCCTTTAGTCTTTTAAAATATTGATTTCATGTTTAATGGCTATATAAAGAGAACTTTTAAAAAAAAGTTTTCAGCCTGGCTCCCCTGATTGAAACACAGTCATCCTCTATGATATCCAGGAGGGCCTCCCTCCCCATTTCTGGGGCCCCATGTGGCTGCCAACCCTCAGAATGTAGGAGCTCAAACTATGGCTAGAATAAAACTGAAGAAAAGCCAAGCAACAGCAGGAGGGGTGGAAGAGTCTGGAACGGCAGGCTCTTGTCCCTTCTCAAAAAGAAGAGGGAGGAAGCTCTATTCTTCCCAGAGAAGGGAAGAAAAACAAGCCGTCGATGGAAATACCACATTCAGAGTTGGCAGGGAGACGGCGAGGAATCAAAAGAGGCCCGAACCCTTCCCTGTCCAGTTCCAGCCTAGTAGGCAAATTAAAAGAAGTTCAGATCTCAAACTGATTGTCCCAGAATTATCTGGACCTAAAAGCACACAGAGCATGTGAAAGGGACTGTCCCATGGTCCACCAACAGCCCAAGCATACAAGCTGAGCCTAAAAAAGCTAGATGGAGAGTGAGCCTAAAATGCTCTCCTCAAGATCTTATTGAAACCCAAGTGTCTATGAGTGAAATGACGAAAGTGCTGAATCCCAGGTCCGTCATCAGAGTGGGGAAGGGAAGGGAATAGTTAGATGAAACGGGACTAGCCATGCCCCATCCTGCAGCAGTGGGGTAGGCAGTGAGGACATCCATAGGGACTGCTACAGAAAAAGAATGCCATTGCTCTCATTTTCATACTATGTGTGAACATTTCCACAATTAAAGGTTCTAAAAGCAGAGAGAGAGAGAGAGAGAGAGAGAGAGAGAGAGAGAGAGAGAGAGAGAGAGAGAGAAATGAGTACTTGAGTACTTGCTGCTCTTGCAGAGGATCCAGCTTCAATACCCAGCACCCTCATGGTGACTCATCACTACCTACCTGTACCTCCAGCTCCAGGAGATCCCATGCCCCTGTTTTTTGAGTACACCAGGCAGGCATGTACGTGGGCACATATATCTGTGCAGTTCAACATTCATACACATAAAAGTTTAAAATGAAATAAATCATTAAACCAGTTTAGTTCTAAGAGTAGGGCTGACAAGATGGGTCAAGTGCTTATACAAGCAACAAAAATAAATAAATCTTAAAAAAAAAAAAAAAGAACTTGGATGATGAGGTAGGGGTTTGGTGGTTGAGGTGAAAGGTTGTGTATCATGTGCTTTTCCATGACTGTGGTAAAACACCACGACCAAGGCAAGAAGAAAGGGATTATTTTGGGTATATGGTTCCAAGAGGGCGAAGAGTCTGTCCCCATCACAGCAGGGAAGTGTGGCAGCGGGCAGGGTATGGCAGCTGGAGTAACAGCTGAGAACTCATGTCTCAAACCACAAGCAGAAAACAGAGAGAACTAACTGAAAATAGCATGGGTCACTTGTAACCTCAAAGCCCACCCTCTGTGACATGCTTCCTCGGTAAAGCCATACCTCCTAATCCTCAAAGAGCCACCAACTGTGACCAAATGTTCCAATGCTTGGGACTTATAGGGGAAATCTCATTCAAACCCAAACAGGTAATAATGACGACGACGATGATAAACTCCTGGGTCTGAGTACTTGGCCTGTGTGGGTGGAATGTGAGTCTCCACTTTCCTGGTTATTAGTGATCTTATTATTGCACAGTAGTTTCGAGATCCACCATATACGATGACATCATTGCTGTTAATGGAATATGTCCTTGCATGGTAAATTCTGACAAATGAAACTCACACCTAGAATCTCACTGGGGTCTTTGACAATTCTAAAGGTGTAATAAATACCTGAGATCAAAAGGCTCCAGGGCCTCAGGTCTGGATGAACTATCACCAAAGCAGCCCTGCGTCAAGTCTGGATATATATGAACTTATATGTCTGATTAATGTCAATATTTTGTCCAGAACTATGGTGCAAGTATTGCTAAGTGAGAAACAAGGAGACTGAATTAGAATGGTAGACAGTCCCGAAGCCAAACACACACTCTGGATGAAGTCACAGTGTTTGTCATTCATCTGCTCCTTCCACGGGTGTTTGTGAGCACACGGCCCAGCCACGCTCAAAAGGCAGCCAACTCCGTGGTCGCCTTCCTGCAGATGGCTGGGTCAGAGTTCTTTGGAGACGCAACCCAAACTAGGCTCTAGGAGATAAGGAAGACTGTGGAGGTGAAATTTAAGCTTGACAGAGAAGGACAGATATCTCAGGCATGGCCTTTCCGATCTCACTTAAAATGTCTTTTTTGAGACTTCTGATAGCTCTTTCAAGAGAGGTGAGGACACGGCCCACTCCTTCAGGGCACCCTGTTTATTTCCTTATTAGTACTGTGTGAAGGGAAGTCTGGGATTGGGAATGTAGCCACATAGCCCTGGATTCAAACCTTGGCACTGAAGGGGGAGAGGGGCAAAAAGGTGTCTGGCAGATGCTAGAGAAGGCTGGGTCAAATCTAAGCTCTGTTACATTTAGTAAGTTATTTAGCCTCTCTGTGCTTCAATTCCTTAATAAAATGTATCAATCAAATCAGCAATTTATGCCGAGTTCCATTTAAGTTGTGGCCATGGGGGATGGGGAGATAGCTCAGCGGTAGAGCACCTACCTAGTGCTTGAGGGCGGGGTAGGGGTGGAGACCGTGGGACGGAAAGGAATGGGTAGACCGAAGGTAGGTACTATGTCAGTGGCTGAATCCACAGATGGATTTAGCAAATGAGAGAAACAGTAAAGGTAATACCAGAGAGAGACAAGGAAGGAAGGATAAGGGGGAGTTCCGGTAACACCAATTTCTTTCTGTTTTTTCCTTGGCACTGTGGTTGAACTCAAGGCTTTAACATGCGAGGCAATTGCTCTACCATTATGATTCGATCCTTAACACTTAAGAGAGGTTCCCATGGGTGACTGAAGGTGCTTAGTGTTGCAAAGCCATTAAGCTCCTATTAGTTGGGGCTAGGGAGGTGGCTCAGTGCTGAAGTGCCTGTGTGCAAGTCTGAGAACCTGAACTCAGATTCCCCAAAGGACACACAAAGCCTGCCATGATGGTGTATGCCTGTATCCCAGTGCCGGGAGTGGAGGCCAGAAGCCGAAGCCCAGGGCTCACTGGCCTAGCTGAATGTGGAGGGCTTCAATCCAGTGAAAGACGGAAAGAAAAAGGTAGAGACCTCTGGTCTCCACCCACACCTATTTGCATGGGGATTCACCAACCCCCACGCCCACCGCCCACCTCCCTACCCCATCCTCCCTACCCCTGCCTCCACCATCCCTCCGTTTAGTAGACAGGGCTTTATATAAAAGAAATGTATTGACTCAACCTAAGACACAGTGTACAGAAAGGGGACAGGCTTTCCAATTTTAACTCACCGAGTTACTTCAGAAGGTAAAGTAATATATTTAAGTTGCTTTTGTAAAAGGAAGCTTGGTCCTTTGTAGCAAGGACCTCTTGCTATTCAATTTAAAGTCCTACAATGTTCTTGTTGTTGACATGGATCACAGTGCCCTCTGTTCCAGGCGTGAGCTTCCTGCCATGACTTTGGGCATCCTTTTTGAAACAGACCTTCTGACCTGGAAGGCTGCTGAGACCTTTCGGGATAGTTGAACAGTAGATAAAAATCTACAGGGAAGTGGGTGTAGGCAGGATGTGTGGGTTCCCTGCCTCTCATCTGAAGGCCGGTTCAGTTCGTTTCACATAAATGGTGTCTTATACTGAAAAGGTTCATTCTGGAGTGTTCCAAGAGAAACACAAAAGAACAAGCTACCTATTGATCTTCATTTCAAGTTGAAACTAGAACATTCTTTCTCAAAGGTATAAAAAGGCACAGCAAGGAAACTGTCCCTTACTATAAGATCAAAGCAGTCCTCTCTGCTAGTACGACCTGGATCTGTAAGAGTGACATACAGCAGGACCTGCACTTGTTTACCGCATAATCTGGAACTTACCCTGGCTCTGCGTGTGCACAGCAGACCAAACTGGGGAAATACTTCTCGGCTTTTAGTGATACACCACGCAGACTCTTTCTCCAACACTGCAGGCTAGTCACTAAGCAGGCGCTGCGAACATCTGTCACAGACATGGTTCTGTTAGGGGCACGGTCTCAAGCAGGACCAGCTACATAATTTGTGGGGTCTAAAGTGTGAGTTCCTGTTTAAAGTTAGGAAGATGTTTAAGGGTGGAGCTGAGAGGCCAAGTACTCATCCTTGGTTTAATCTCAAGCACCAGACAATGGCAGCAGCAGCAACAATAATAACAATAATAATAATAATAATAATAATAATAATAATAATACAACATGAAAAAGCAGAGGCTGGGGACCCCCCTGAGATGGCACTCTGGCTGCAGAGGTCACATACTCATGAAACTGGTCCACTCTCAAGCGGGCCTACCTAGGTTCGGATCTAGCTTTGTCAATTCCTAGTCATGTGATCCTGGATGAGTCATCTATAAAACAGGCACAGTAAGAGTCTCCACCTCATTGCGTCCTTCCAGGTTGAAATTAGGTATTATCTGAACAGTGTTTAAAATACCTGGCACACAGCAAGCACTATATAAATGTTTATAAATACACCCTCTACCAGGAGGCCTAAGCATCTCAAAAGGCTAGAGACAATTACAGCCATCACATTGGAAATAAGTTTAATTTTCTTTTTAATGCTGGCGAACTCAGATTCCCGATCAACATATGATGCTTTCATGACTACAACACTGGTCACCTTTTAATTTATTTTAAGCAAACAGATTGTAAAATACTGTCTGGATACAGGCCAGCAACACAGAAAGGAAGACTGGAGACTGAAGAAAGACATTTGTTTATGGCCAGAGATCTGGAAGCCTGTGGAGTGTAAACTGTCATGAAGCCAGTTTAACAAACTGCTTCCTTTAGGCTGTGATGGCTCACTGGGGACATCACTGCTTCCACAGAAGGATTAAAGCCTGACATGTCTGAACAAAACCAAAGGAGCACCTTGTTCTCTCTCTCCCCCGCTCTCCCTCCCCCTCTCTCTCTCCTCACTTCCCTGTGCCCAGCTCCTAATGTAGTCTAGGCTGGCCTCAAATGTGCTAGGTAGCCAAGGATACCCATGAACTCTTGATTCCACGCCCCCCCCCACCTCCCACCTCTTGAGTGAGCAATCACACACTACAACAGCAACACCTACCCCAAGGCCGGCTTATCCTGTTCTTTTCTTTTTATAATGTAGAATCCTGTTTTATTTAAAGCTGTAAGACAGGAAATGTTACTAAACATACAAACTCTATATTTAGGTCGAGAAAAACAAAACAAAAAAGCTCATGGCTATAAGAGTCAAAAGAAAATCTGCAAGCAGTGTTATACTCTTTTTTTTTTTTTTTTGGTTTTTCCAGACAGGGTTTCTCTGTGTAGCTTTGCACCTTTCCTGGAACTCACTTGGTAGCCCAAGCTGGCCTCGAACTCACAGAGATCCGCCTGGCTCTGCCTCCCGAGTGCTGGGATTAAAGGCATGCGCCACCACCGCCCGGTGCGTTATACTCTTTTATTTAGAAAAATACCTTAGTGCACAGACATAGCTCTTTGATGGGCACTCTGTGCTAACGTCTGTCTTTCCTCACTGAGTTATTTCACACTTGAAATTCTTCACCACTGATAAGTCTTTGGGCTTTTGGAAAACTTTACAATAAAGATAGCTATTATAGTAAGTATTGGTAATTACAAAATTCTCAAGACTCTTAAGTTACCATTTGTCAAACAATTCGCCCAAGGTACACAGATTTGGGGTACTTCTCCTTAAGAGTTGGCCACTGAACAATAAAGAAATCAGAGAGGTGCCTAAGAATCTTCCCAGACAGGGACAAAGTTTCCACGCGGCAGATGCTCTCGACGTAGACAATGATCACTTTCTTGATTCCAAGAATCCCAAGGAGCAGGGCAGACACACAGATGGGCACACATGTTCCTGGTCCATTACACAGCACCTTAAAAAAAAAAAAAGACCAAATCAAAATACAGAATGCTGTCTTCAGTGGACCATTCTGAATTAAAAAACACCCTAATCTTGGGGACAGGGGGATTTATTAATCTGGTTAAGTCTTTCTTGCTAAGAACACAGATGTGACAGTGTGTAGTGAAGGCAAGGTACTCAGAAGCCATGTGCAGCTTTGATGTCCTGGCTTTCCTGCTTTCCAGCTGTGTGACTTGGGGCAATCCACTTAACGTCATTATCCTCTCTGTCTGTCTCTGTCTGTCTGTCTCTCTGTCTCTGTGTGTGTGTGTGTGTGTGTGTGTGTGTGTCTCGTATGCTCACTCATTCGTGTACACGTAGAGGCCAGAGGTTGACATTAGGAGTCTCCTTTTATTGTTCTCCACTTTATTTCTGGGGTTCGCCATTTTGGTTAAGTGGCTGGCTAGCCCCGAAGTCCCACATCTGTCTCTCTCCACCCACCCACGCTGGGCTACAGACTCCTGTGGCTTTTACGTAGGTGCTGGGGGTCCAGGCTCAGATGCTCCCACTGTACAGCAGGCGCTTTGCCTACCAAGCCATCTCGCCAGCACCTTAACTTAGCCAGTCACTTAACTTCCAAACTCTAGCACAGTGGCTGGCTATTTCTCGGTACTCACTGGACGGAGTATCTACTCTTCCCGGAGCCTGACGAATCTTCAGTGTCCCGCAATACAGAGAAAACAGAAAAAAAAAAAAAAATCTAACTATGATCCGTTCAGTTTTCTTTCTTCTACTGACGTCTTTTTAATTTAGAAGAAAATGCTTTCAATGACGATGATGTAGTATCTCTTGGGGCTCCCACCCCACAAACAGGATGGACATTCAAAAGAGGGCTGCCACATGAATGAAGCTTTTTTTTTTTCCCTTCCCTCAAGAGAACTGAATCTGGGCCTGTAACACAGAAGAGCTCTAGTATTTCTGGAGTTCTGCTAATATCTACAAAAAGTCATCAATTTTAAATAAATTCAACAAATGAAATAACAATTCCAATCACAGAATAACTGCAAAGAATTTTTATTGGTCTTTGAAGAAATGAGAGGAATCTTGTTTCATAGACTTATTAGTAAGATAATTTATTACTATTTGAGAGGAAAAAATGTTTTATACAGTATCTTCCTCATATGCCCATATTGGCTGAATTAGTAAAACCCAATAAATCATTTGACTTCCCAACTACGAAACAGGAGGCTTGTAGTTGTCTACACATGCCTATTAGCATCATGCACAATGTCACAAGATCCTTCCAAAACCAAATCCACAAAACATCAGAGACTCTTCCAATGGGATGGGTCTTCAGATACAGGGTTGAATGTCCTTGCACAATAGGACTCTCACCCGGATGGACAGCCCGCCTCCGGGCAAACATGGCTAAGGTTGTAAGGGTCATCCTGCCTAGCTCCATCCTTCCCGCCAGCATGACCACCTAGACACCATTCACAGAGCTCTCTCTGCCCAGTCTCGGGAGGGATCGATCTTTTTTTTTTTTTTTTTTTTTTTTTTTTTGTAGTTTTCTGATGTGTTCTTCCTATAATTTAAATGGTTTCTGTCTTTCATGAAGAACTTTTCATTTAGGATGTCTCGGGTTAGCAGTGACGAAGCAGAGCCAGAGTCCAGCCTTCATCTCCATCAGATCAACAGACCCCCAAAGCGGCACAGCACAAACACAGCCCGAGGTGGGGTGGAAGAGGTCCACAGGCTGCAGGGGACCCAAGACTGGGCAACAGCAGTGGCTCTCACCACCACTGTTAGCAACTCACTATGGCCACAGACCACACCAAACACTTTACACATAAAATGCTTTAATTATTACCCACAGTAATCACTTGAGAGAGGCTCAGCTCCCTTTTCTTGTAGATAAGAAGGCAATCTGCTTGATCACAGGTTTAGGAGGCAGAGAGGTTATATGGCTTCAGGCGACATTTATCCTCCTAGCTTAAACATGGGGACAGCAGGCTAAGTGAGCTGCCTCTGCTGTGGTTGACACCTACACACTCACTCTGAGTCCTTTCCAGGCTTTAGAGTGCCCCCTCCCTCCCAGTTGTGGGGCTGGCCCTGTGCAGCACAGGATGGTCAGCAGCATCCTTGGTCTCTGTCCACAAGACCTCTCCAGTCAAGACAACCAAGAAGGACTTCAAGCTCTCCCACACCTTTCCAGGTGACAACCACTATTAAAGCGCGTCTTTACATCACTCTTCTTTAAAACAGCACAGACCAGAACTAAAGTGACAGCTTGTTGGAACTTGAGTGACACAAAACATTTTAATATGTAGTTAAAAAAAAAAACATACTTATCCATGTGTGTTCACGTCAACATCCAGCTGGCTCTATACAAGTGATTAATACACAAATGACCTGGTCCTGGTGAGAGACGCCTAGACAGCCTCCCATGGGTGGGAGTGAGAGGCTGGTAGAAGGGAAAATCAGAGGTATTCTGTTTGTTTCTTGCCATTCTTCTGTATCTCCATACTCTGAGGCACTTTACAGCACAACTACAAAATCATCAATCAACACGTCAGAGGAAGCACAATATAGGCCCAGGATAAAGTTATTGACAGTGTGTGCAAGGCCCTGGCTTTGACCTCTAGCCCGGGGCAAGGGAGCTAAAGGGGGAACTTTAGGCAAACTAATCTCAAGGAAAAGCACTTTTAATTAAGCACATATTTTAATTCTGAGTTGCAGCGGCCTAGTTTTTTTTTTAATGTGGATTATGATTTTTATTATTCTAAGAAGCATACCACAGAGATTTACTCCAAGCATTGGGGAAAAAGAAGCCTTGTGTTAAACACCTTTAATGTAATGACTGAAAACACAAATTCTCACTGCCCTGGCTGTCTCGCCCTGGCCGTCTCTTCCTCACCATCCTGTAAGCCCCGAGTACTGGCACGACTTACTTCAAAGGCACTCTACAGTCTGCAACAGAACAGAGCTGCCTACAAGGAAAAGAGGAGGCAGGTACAAGGGGGGAAGGAAAGAGAGCGACTACTTCATGCTCAGCCTGTGTCAAGTCAAAGGCTCCCCTCTGGTGACTGGCCACTTGGAACTGGACTGCACATACCCAACCATAGATTTACACTTAGGTGGCTGCTAACACAATGGCTGTTCCCCTACAGGTTTTTCTTTTAAATAATTTATTTTGATCAACTTTGTCCCTTCCCCCCAGTCCTCCCAGGTACGCTCCACCTCCCTACCCTACCCAACTTTATGTTCTTTCTCTCTCCCTAAAAAACAAACAAAAAAATGAAAAAGCAAGAAACAAGTCCCCAACACACACACACACACACACACACACACACACACACACACACACGAAAATCAAAACAAACAGGCAAAAGATAAGGCAAAAAAAAAAGCTGGAACAACGCAAAAAGTCTACAAAAATACCATTGAGTGTTTTATGTTGGCCAACAGCCAACATCTGTTTACCTTTTTCTCAGGAGAACCAGTATATCCTTTGCCCTTAAGTATCTGAATGACTCTATATCCAGCTAGAAGGAAGGAACATATAAATCCTGTCTGACCAGAGCACTGGATTCTTCTGCCAGATGCCACTGGTCCAGCCAAGAGCACACAAGACAGCGGGACATCTGATGGCCTGCTGAGGGCTGAGTGAATGTGTCTTTTCTTTTCTTTCTTTTTTGAGACAGGGTGTTATACAGTCCTGGCTGGCAGGCCTGGAACTTATTACATAGCCTAAGGTAGCTTCAAACTTGTGGCTTCTCCTCCTGCTCTGCACTGAGATCACAGGTGAGGTCCACCGTGCCTGGGTGGAGAAGCACTTTCTCTACTGGAAGCCAGATGTGCGTGGATTTGGGACTTTTGACATCTAGCTTGCTATCATGTGGGGAACTTTAGAATAAAGCCACTGCAAAGGCAAGCAGAGTTGAGCGATGAAGACAGGCCAGGGTCCCTTTGAAGACCGGGTTTAAGATCCATGAATCCAGCTGTGCCTGAAGGAAACCAGATCTTTCCCTAGACTTGCCAGGTATGTGAGGGGACACATTCTATCTTTGCTTAAGCCAGTTTGAATCAAAATTTCTGTGACTGGCAATTAAAAAGCATACTAAGTGATACAATCCTCTATTTTGTCTAATCTTCTAACTAGCTTATTGGCAATATCAGCCAGTAGGTGTTCCATGTGTATCTGTTGGATGAATTACCAAATCAATAAATATACTGTCAAAGCAGGCAGTCTGAGAGATGCACTAACAGCAATGTAAGCTATAGGTCTAGAAAACAGAAAGAGGCCAGGCCACTCCACATATGATGTTATGAGGAGATGCACCAGCCACTCTACATATGATGTCATGAGGAGATGCACCAGGTCACTCTACATATGATGTCATGAGGGGATGCACCAGGCCACTCAACATATGATGTCATGAGGGGATGCACCAGTCCACTCTACATATGATGTCATGAGGAGATGCACCAGGCCACTCTACATATGATGTCATGAGGAGATGCACCAGGCCGCTCTACATATGGTGTCATGAGGAGATGCACCAGCCAAGGACCAAGAACAGTCATAACAGGTTTGCTGTTCTGAATATTTGCGTCACATAGGTCAAGTCCCACTGGCTGAAACATAGTATCTGCATGTATGAAAAGACATGCTTAACTTCATCAGTTTGAAGTTAACTCCCAGCTCAGCAGGAATCTCCTCTCAACCCTGAACTCAGAATTGAGACATCTGGGGTGTTGTGTTGGTTCTAGGTCACTGACATGCAGTTTAGGTTCATCCAGGACAAGACATGTGAAGGTGAGATTGGAAGTCATGCCAAGGCTTCATTCGTTTTTTTATATATAATATATATGTATGTATGTGTATAACACACACACACACACACACACACACACACACACACACACACACACACACATACACCGTCATTTCTTTATCCTTTGGGAATTTCACATCATGCACTCTAATTCTGCCCACCTCCCCTTACCCCTGCAGTGCCCCCTCAAAAGAAA